TTTAATGTGAGAACCGCGACGTCACCATCAAACTATCGAATTATCCTCTATTTAATTTCTATATAAATGTGAAGACTTTCTGCAGACAGCCAATAAACCTCAAGGTGATAGGACTTGTTTCTGCTTCCATTGAAGTCGGTGGCAAACCTCCCATTTATCGCAGTGTGTAGGATCAAACCCCAGCCCATAAATAATCAGGCACTGAAGGTGCTCTCTGATTCTTCTGTCCATATCTCTCCCTTCCTCTCAGAAAACTTATGAGGTCGGGCCCAACATTGATCTCATGCACAGGCTGGGAGCATCTTTCTTTCTTTCTCCCTCTCCCCCCCCCCCCCCCCCATCCCCCTTCTTTGTGGGTTTTGATCTCTCTCTTTGAAATGGAAGCAAATTCCCTGCAGGGTGCTCTGTGATCACTTGCTGGGTGTAGTCGCATGCTTTCACTTCTTGCTGTAGGTGAAATGGCTCGTGTGCAACGCTATTAACTCTCTGCTAGGACGCTGCTTTCCCTGTGTGTTCCTCGCCGCTCAGCAGAGCAGGCAGCTTCCCCCAAAAACCTGGGTAAGGCACCCGTGTGGGTAGTGCAGCACTCAGAGGACACGAGGGGTACAAGAGGCGATGGTTCGGCCAGAAATGTGGCTCAGACAGCCCCGTCTGGGCCAGCTGCTTGGAATGGAAGAAGTTGCCTGTTTCTGCGGAGCCGTGCATGATGTACCAGGTTGTTGTCAGTCATGATTTACTTGCCATAGACAAAAATGTCATTTCCCTTTGGTTGCGCTGGAATGGAGCAGATGGAGAGCGTTATTGAAGAGGGAAATTACAGTGGTGGGATAAGTGTTGGGGGGGAAAAAAAAAAGAAAAAAAGAAAAGAAAAAAAGACCGTTTTAACAGGAGAACTCTGGTTAGGCCCAGCCCAGAAAAGTATGTAAGAATGTGCTTGTGATTTGCTTCCAACAAAATTTTTAAGCCTATACTTAACTATAAGCATGAGTATCTCGTTGCTTAAGGTTAAGCACGTGCTGAAATACTCATCTGGAGGTAAGCCCTGGCTGGCAAGACCGAAAGAAACAGAGATCACATAATCAACTTCCAAAGCAAGAGCCTAATCCTACCCAGTCAGCTATTTTGGGGGAGTTTCCAGGAAGGCAAAGAGGTTGCAAGAGGTGGATCTGAGTCTCTGATCTTACAAATTTCCTGGCAGGTGCAAAGGCAACTGCTCTGAACAATACCAGAGGTGTTTGCAGGATTGGCCTGAAGGCTTTGTCTGCAGCAGAAAACGAGGTTAACAGGCTACTTGAAACAAACAAACAACCCCACCTCCCTCCAGAAATTTCACAAAGATGTGCCTCTGTGGATGTGGTGTGATGTTAAAGAGATTTAAGTACGTCTGCTCTGAAACCATTGCCGTAGCTCTAGAAAACCCATCTTTAGAAAAATGCCCCCCTGTACCAATCAGTTTTGCAAAGTCACATCCCAAAGTCCCATCTGTTTTGGGGAGTCAGTCGGCGCATCTCTTCTTACATCTCCTTGGATTGGATTTTCACGTTGTTTGAAGAAAAATGCCAGGTGACACAAAGCAGATCTTCTCTAAATGATGTTTGCTTATGCAGTAGGACTTTTAACTGGAAATCTTCCAAATAATTAAGCTTAAAGAATTTGTGCAGGTAAACTATGCTCTTTATTCATGAAAAAATGCACACACACACACACACACACACACACAAGAATGGGGAAGAAAGTGTAAGGAAGAGCATTTGCTTAAAGACATGAAATACAATTGTGAAAATTGCTTTTATTTTAAGTCTTTGGAGAACATTGTAACATGAATCAAAGTAATGCCATTTTGTACCACCTGTAAAACATAGGAACATATTTACAGCAAGCAGAGAGGGAAGCAAATGCAAAAGAAGAGAAAATGAGATCGTGGTGGGTGTGCCACCATGCCACCATGCAGTGGTGGCAGAAGTCTGCCCGGGGTGTTCACAAGAAGGCTGGAGAAGGAGGCTTTAGATGCTCCATGCTTCATCTCCGTCAAAACTAGGCTTAAGGTCCTGTCTTAACTTTGAAGGCTTCTGGCCAAGCAGAGCTGATGAAGCCACTGGATTTCTTCTATCTAGCAGAGACGAGAAGGAAGCGACTGATGTGCTTCCAGGTGTTTTGGCTTCAGAGAAAACTCAGCAGAGCTTTTGGCTTGCTGGAGGTTTGTGCGCTAGGTTCAGGGTTCACTCACACTTGCTGCCTTCCTGGGCTGCTCAGGCAGCTGGTGAGTCTGTTTTGCAGCCCCCCGAGAGCTGATGCAGCCCGGCTGTCCCACAAAGACAGTCGGATCAGTCTTACCACCCAAGACTTTGCTGCCAAAGCGTGTGACAGCTCTGGGAATGGCCTCTGCAGAAGTAGTTTCAACCCCGGGTTCAGCCGTAATTGCGCTGGAGAATAAGCAAGATCTGCTGGCCACTCATTTGCAAATCCCCAGCGGTGAGTTTGCGAGCCAGGCTGCGTGTGTCTCAGTATTAAATAATGAGGTGGAATAACACGGATGATCATCACACGGCATTCACGCATCTGTACGGCTCTGAGTAATAAATGGGACCTACGTGGTGCTGCAGCAAAGACCTCGCCTTTGGATTTTCATGGAGATGATGATCAACAGAAAAGGTAATGTGCTCAAAACAATGGAAGTTATCTACAAGTATGTTCAGGAAGGCCTGGGGCTTTCAGATGCAAATACAGAAATATATTTAACATCTTGACTTCTATTCTTTTGTCATAATACAAAGTGGAAAGACAATGTTTAGTAAATGTTTACATCTTACAAAGGGGAGTTTTGCAAATTGCATTGTAGCTCTTTGGGAGGAACCAGGAAAGAGGGCAGGATGTTAACAACATAAAAAAGAATAGCAATAAAACCCACCCCTAATATTAATTGTCTAAGAGGAAATGCATATATCTCTCATCAGGACATTTCAGACTCTGCTTTGCATTGCTGGAAGCCTGAGAACACTAATCGTTTTTTGGCATAGAGACCCAAGCTCTTGCATACTTGAAACATAACTCATTTGCAGTTGTTTTGATGGATGCTTATAAGCAATATGGAGAAGCTCCCAAGTCCTTGCAGCTTGCTGAGCATCAGAGCTAAGAACGGGCCCAGGTGTGGATCTGGCTGAGCTCCTTGACGTGGGAACAGGAGGGGACAGCTCTGACTGAACACCTCCACTCATCTCTGGTCCTAAGGATGGCTGGTTACACCACGAACCTCTATCAGCAGCTTTCCTTGTGAACTAGTAATGCACCCCAAGGGGTTCTTGAAGGATCATTTCCACCAGCACTATGGCACGGAGCCATCAGAACAGCTCTGAGCAAGGTGGCAATGGCTCTAATGGCTCTCACCCCCTGAGGATCCAGGCACCGGGCGCTGGGAAGGTCAACCAGTGGGGGATGGCCAAATGGAGAGGGGCACCAAAACGCTTCCAGGTGGTCTTGGGAGCAAAGCGTAGCCCAGAGAGCTGCAGCCTGCTCCTCTTCCCAAAACAGCAGCCGAGAGCCGCTGTGCTCTGGGGTCAGGCACAGACTCAAAAATGGGACACAGGTGACTGGGAGAAGCACGAGCTGAGCTTAGAGCCACTAAGTCTGCATGTCTGTGCGTACGGTGTGTGGAAAGGGGGAGGAACAACAGGTTTGTGGCTGCAGTGAGATCCCTCATCACTGGCCAGTGCCAGACTTTGTGTAAAAGCCTTGGTGGTGGATGTTCTTAGACATAAGGCTTTGCCCCGTGTTTCAGTTTCTCCCACAGACTGCTATGCAAAGTTTGGTTGGAAGAGGAAGATTAGCAACTCTAGCTCTTGTGGAGAACAATTTCTTTCCCCTAGACCCCAGCCCACTTCTTCTGGTGCCGTAGAACAAAACCCTGAGCAAGGTGATCTTCAAGGGCAGTGTATTTTAGCGACAGAAATGATTACATTTCTGCCACATGGTTTTCGTTTCATACTGAATAAAGTCTTACCAACTTGCAATGAGTAACTTTTAGGTTACATCATGTTGTGTGGAGGGAAAGAAGTGGGATTTATACACTGTGTGCCTGCCGTGGAGTCCTGCATGTATCTTGGTGTACGGTTTTGTATATGGAACATGCAAAGACTTCTGCAGACAGGCGGGAAATGCATTTGTGGGGATACCGAGGAGTTGATGCCAAATGCTTCAGAGACATTTTTTTCTCCTCCTTAGGCTATCCAAGTGCATATGCGCCCTCCTCCTTCCAGGTGAACCATAGACCTGTCTTTGTTTTCCTTTTAGTGGTGCTCTGGTGAGGTTCTGCTAGTGTACTTACTCCTGTTCAGCACATACCAGCCCTGATAAAACCCTGCAGAAGCAATCCCAGTAGTTAGATAATACCAAATTATAATCCCTAAAATTGTCTTGCTGTCTCTTGTTGCCCCTCTCTCACCCTTTCTTCCTTTCCTTTCCCCTTCCTTCCCCCTGCCTTCCTCCGAGCATCCATTTCCCTCCCCACGCCCGGCTGCCATTCCTTGGCTGCACCTCTCCCGCGGCAGCTGGCAGGAGGACGGCAGGAGCCTCTTCCTGCTCCACCCTCGCGGGAGGTTTTGGAGCCCCGCAGGGAGCTGCAGGCTTATTGCTCGCCGACTTGCAAGGGCAGGTGAAGTGCTCCAAGCTCCACCTAATAGCAAGGAAGGTGGAGGAGCTGCTTGGCCGAGAGGCGTCGCAGAAGATGGGTCTGGAGGGAAGGAAGCCTCGGAGCAGCTGGGGCTGTGCGGGAGGCGCTGGCCGGGAGCCCTGGCCACTGTCAGGGGGCCGTCGGCTTGTTTGCAATTATCGGTGCTCTAGCACTCAAATCAGGCTAAATGGCCACAGGATTAAAATACAAAAACGAGAACAAAACCAAAAGCAAGGGCAAAACCAAAACCAAACCAGAAGGGACCATACAGCAGTTGTCGTTTTCACATTCATTACGTGTTAGCCTTAGCAGAAGCTCTCACCTCATGTCAGCCTGGGACAAAACCAGAGGTGGGCACAGAGCCTGGCTTCCAAGATCCCCCCCTATGACACCAGGGAACGACTGGGCCCGGGGAGAGATGCTTTTCCAGCAGCTGCCACCTGTAAAGCAGCACTGGCCGCAGCTCCTCACAACAAACAACAAACCAGCTGGACAATTTTCTGAGATGCTAATGACCTATCTGTACAGAGGTACCTGCTTTCTGTCAAAAAAAAAAAAAAGGTTAGACAGTGACTCTCATCTGCTTCTTTCCCCCTCCATTCTTCTCTTTTTTCTTGCTGGAAAAAAAGGAAGTAAATTATTGAAAAAAGCCCAAAGTCTTTAGAGAGGAGAAAAGAGATGAAAGCTTAACAGAGTCATTTCACTTAGCAGCAAAGCACTTTATTTTTACTGGTTTATTTAATGATCTTGCAAAAAAAATGTCTCCCAGTACAGCTAAAGGGTAGTCAAAAATGTAATTAACAATAGAAACGAAATAAAAATCTAATAGTCCAGAGTGAATATTGGAAACACTCATAATCATATAAAACCTCCTCTGGGATCTTCCATGAACTCAAGGGAGCTCCAAGAGACTTCTGCACACAGCCTGCTCGGCAATGCTAGGCCCTAACCAAAGCAGCAGTGACCTCCAGGATCATGATCAGCCACCAAAAATATTTTCTAACCTCTTCGGTCCAGGATATTTTTTTTTCCTTAGTGATTGTTCTCCCAGCTGCTGGCCGTGACTGGTCTTACACGGACTCGCTCGTAAAGGGCTGTGGTAATGGGGCAGCTGGGATGAATAGGAGAGCTGGGACATTAGGGACCTCTGGCATTCAAAGTGGTTGTGTTTGAGGATTTATTTTTTTTTTTTAATAGCATCGGGACAAAATTTTCGCAAACTTCCAAACAGGCTTGAAGGCCTGACATAGCATTTTAAAAGCAAGTGACTCCTTAGGCTTTGGACTCGCCGTGATTTTAGTGGGAGAACAACAAGTCAAATATTCAGGAGCATCGGAGTCCTTTAGCCAAACTCCTTGTGGGTATTTGGTAGGTTTCCCAGCCCTGTTTCTAATTTGGTTTACACCCCAAAGCCAACGGGTTTTGCTATTTGTTTTGTGGGTGGGAACGCTTGTGAGAAGGTATTATCAGGTGCACATCCTAGCCGAGAGATTTTCTTCTCTGAACTTCCCTGGATGCGAGGAGGAAATTCTCCAGATCATCAGCTTGTTTTGGGGCCTTTGTTGTTGTTGTCATTTGTCAGGCAGATCTACATCAGGAAAGCTGAGCACCTGGAGAAGGTTCAAGCATAGACAGCTTCAGATCTCAGCTTGGGCTCAGCAGATGACACAGGAAATTGTGTTTAGCTCTCAGGGACCGGCGTTTGCTTGTTCTGCTCTGTGGCACACACGCAGGATTGGTAACCCTGGATTGGTAACTACATTTCTAAATTGAACGTGTTAAAAAGCTGCCTCCAAGAGGTGGGGGGAGCCCGCGCCAGCATTCAGTATAAAGTTGGGCTCGGCGCTGATGGTTTATGGCTGATAATGAATTTAGCAAGCTACCAGTTAGGCTTTGATGCTAATTATTTTAAGTATCATAGGGTCTGATTCACAAGGCAGTAATCACGGGTCATTATTTCTGACATTATTAGGTTAAGTTAAAAATTAGCTTTTAGGCTCAGAGCACCGTGTACTAATACGCTCCGAAACAGAACACCTGTGCAATGCCTGAACAGACAATTGAAGGAAATTAGCCCCTTTAATTAAACGAGCTGCAAGTGTGCATTGTTTGTTGATACACTGACAAAAAATGGTATTTGCACCTTTAGACAGCAATTTTCTGTAGCTGAAATGGGACACCAGTAGGGAGAAATAAGCCTGGGTTTTGCAAAACAGCGGGGGCTTTCCTTTGATAAATTGGGGCCAGTGCCCCCACACCCTGAAGGGCTGGGTTGGACCAGAAGTGATTTTGTTAGCTGGATTCTTGAGGAGGGTTAAGATGGGATGGGCAGAGCTGCATCCATGTCCCGGCTTTGTGTTTTAGATGCACGTGCACGCAAATCCAGTTTTCTGACCCAGCTTCAATGACAGGAGACAGAAAGCCAGATTTTCTCCTGCTACGAGCTTCCTACCGCGGGGTTCCTGCAGGCAGGCTCCAGCCTCTGCTACGTCCAAGCTCACCGCCAGAGCTGGAGGTGGGAAGCAGCAGCTTTACCAGGCTGTGGCAGCTCCCTTCATGCCCAGAGGCCGTGCCCCTGCGCCTCCACTGCCAGCCCGGGGGCAGGTTACGGCTGTGAGGTCCCCCGAGTGCTTCGGTGGCAGGAGGCACTCCCCTCTGGCGTCGTGTCACACAGGGGTGTGCAGTCAGCAAGGCCTCCCCAGGTGCACTTACAGGTACCAGTTGTAATAGGTGAAGTTTGGAAGGGGATGGTTATTTCCATACAGACTCTGCTTCCTTTAGCTTAGGTTATCCGAGGTGTAGGAAGGAGAACCGTGTGTAATTGGGAAGGGCCTGGCATTTGCATGTCAATGGGACCCTCTAGCTATAGAATCCCGAGAAAAGCATCTGCAGGCGTGTTTGTGTGGGCTTTCCATCCCTTTGCATCTCACAAAGAATTGACACGTACTTAATTCAAAGGGGGAAGGAAGCGCGCTGATTTCCTCCTCTCCAAATGTAAAGTTTCTACACAAGGAAGTATGGAAAGTTTAAATGATTTGCCCAACAGCGTAGCCCGAAATAGGACTCAGATACCAGCCTCTAATCCTTCCCCGCGGCCATGAGATTGTCTTTCTTCTCTTGATGAAAGTGCAGAAGCTGCTCGCGCCGTTGTGCAGGAAGGCAGGATGGGGTGCTCCACCACGGGGACAGATGAGGGTTAGGAGGGGCAGCACCTGGCATGCGGGGGCCAGGGAAAAGCAAATGAAACAGTCACCGAACCTGTCTGCCTGCGGCAACCCAAAGGGAGAGCGCTCCTCCCCGCCAACATCTGGTTCTCCTCCTGCCTTTTGGACTTTTGGGTAGCCCATCACAGCTTCTGGCGGGTTGCTGCTGAGCTCTCTGACACGCTGAGATGTGGTGCTGGCGAGGAGATGCCTGCAGCGGCCACACCACCTTGGGGCCACCCAGGAGCTGGTTTCGGTCTCAGTGGGTTTGGGTTTTTTTCCTTCCGTACTTTTCAGACACTCCAGAGTCCCCCACCAGAAAAAATGAGTCCTGGTTCTTCAGTGCAGGTTTGGGTCCATGTCAGCTTCTGGAATTATTTTTCTATTTTACTCCTCTATCCCTCCGAAATAGGGCAGGAGTTGCCTTTCATTTTGGATTGAGCCTAAAAAAATAAATGAATATGGATACCAACCCCATCCAAATACAGCAGAACGGCTATCTTGCCTTCCTAATATTCATTAACAGAACCAGCCTGGATTGTTCTGATAAATCTCTTGAAGATAACCAGCACAAGAAAAGGAACTATTCAAATAAAGTCACGTCAAGGAAGCACACAAGGACACATATGTGACACCAGAACTGCAAAACTGAGCTAAAGGATCAGAGTTTGGATTTGTGACAATACCAGCAGATCCCGGTTTATTAAGTCCAGAAAAGAAAAATAGTGAAATAATGAGTGGTCCCACGCTTACAGTTAGAGGTGTCAGAGTGCTCCTTGGATGTGCTAACCACGCAATCGCTTTTTTTTTCCTTTTTTTTTTTTTTCCTTTTTTCGCCTTTGAGAGACAAAGTTGGGGAACTGCAGGGCTGCAAAATTTGCCTGCGTGTCACAGGCGCACCTGGAGCTCTTTGAATCTCACTGCGCTGCTCTGGGGCTGAGCTTTGCTGGCACGAGGAGCTAACGGGATCACTCCATCACCCCGGACCTGTGGGTGGTGGGAAGTGCTGCCTGATGGGGCTGGGGATTAAATGTGCCGGTGCTGGAGGATAGGGTGTTCCTGTGCAGAGAGCCCTCGACTTAGGAATTTGCTCCTTACAAAGGTATGCCAATGCCCCGAGGCTTTCTGCATTTAGGGTGTGAGGTGAGATAGGCTCTTTGTTGGGAGCTTTTCTCCTGACATCCTCGCAAGCCAGGCAGATGTGTGGATATCTCCTCGTAGTTACCCCTGGAAGGAAACATTGTTGGGATATCCTAAGGGGTAAACAGCACTGAGAGCTGAATTAAGAAGTGTTGTCTCTGTTCACTCCAGTTCTGTAAGCACTGCTCACTATTTTAGGGCAAAGCATTTGTGTTTTATTAGCAGTGACCTGTTTTCAGCATCGACTCCCAGCCCTGCAGAGCTGTCCTCTTTGAAATCCAGCAGGATGAGGCATTCGCCAGACTTCAAGTTTTCCCCCGGACCCCAGGTTCAGATCCCACCCAGATGGAGCTACCAGGAGGAGCTGGGGCTGGGTGGCCTCGCGGCAGAGACGCTGAGCACGGGGGCTGATGCTGGCCCCCTCTGTTCCAAAGGGCCGGGAGGCTCCTTGTGCTGGGGGGCAGCTGGAAGTGGAGCCACACTCGGGGTCTTCCTGATGACCACAAGCAGCCTTGAGCTGGCGGGGCAAGGTGAGCACACTCTGCGCAGTCTGTACGGGCACCTTCTGCTTTCGTAGAGCGTTAACCAGGCTTGGAGGTGGCTGCTGCTCCTGGAGGTGAATGACAGAGGTCCTTGCCCAGCTGATGTTGCCTGTAACTCTGTATCTCCCTGTACCCTCTCCTGGACTTGCTTGCTTTGCTTGCCTTGCAGTGCATTGCATTTTCCAGCCTGCACATCTCATCCAATTTTGCGAGCTATAGCTGCTGCTGCTGTGTACATAAGGATCTTTGGGTGCCTATTTCCAGACTTTTCAGGCATCCTTCTTTCACACGTCTTTAGCAAATGCTGACATTTTCATCATTCAAGCTGAAATTTGTTTTTTGACAGGTTGGAGGGACAAAGTCTTGGGACCAAGGTAGAACTGAGGGAGGAGAAGAAAAGGAGAAGGGACAAAGACAGATACCTGCAAGCAGATGCATGCATGCTGCCTTATCCCCTATGCCTGTGGCTGAGCAGACAGCCTGGTGTCTGCCATGCCCGAGGAGTGGCAGTTCGGGGTGCAGGCGAGGACCCTGAGATCAGTGGCCTTGGGTTTCTGCCCTGCCCAGGTACATGTCCTGCTTTGGGGAAGGACGGGATCCTTGCTCTCCAAAACCCATAACACAACTGACATTGCGTGCTCAGAAATCCTCCTCGCTGGAGTTCTTCTCTTGTAGCTAACGCTATTTATACCAACCTTTCCCTTCAGCTTACCCAGGACAGGATCAAAGCTCTGGGAGCAGAGATCTGTCATTACACAGGCTATGAATTCTGTATTCCTACCTCAGATTTCGATTCAATTTGGGGGTTGTGTGGAATTCATCTAAAGCCAAGTGGTTTTGGATGTCAAAACCATAAAACAATTTTCCTGTTTCATGTGACGCGGGTGTATAATAATGCATTTGGCCTTGCCCCTGGGCTACCTAACCATGGGCTGTGATTCACCTCCGAGGCTTAGCTGCCTGCCCTTTTACCGGACCTGTGCTCAGCTTCAATTTTTCGTAATGAATGCAAAGCCTGGCCAATTCTTCTGCCTTTCAGGTTCCACCAAGAGCACTTCCAGTAGCTCTGCTAGTTAATATTAAAATCTACTTTCTGCCAATACAACGCTAATGATCTGTACTTCAAGGGCAGCTTTGATGTGATGATCTCAAAGCGAATCAATTAAGGGTTATCCCACACCCTTGCTATGGATGGAAACATCGAATATATGGAGAAATGAATCCTAAAATCACTGGCAAATGGGAACTGAGAACTGGAATGTCTGTCCTGTGAGAAAGTCAGCGTTTGTTTTCTTCCCCAGAAGACCACAACTGTGCTACAGCGATGTGTTTATGGAACAGATTATGTAAAGGGAGAAAATATTCCCAGGAAGTGTCCCAGCGTTTCGTTGTGCACCAGCAAACCAAATGGCACTACAGCTCCAGTGCCTTGTGCTCCTGGTCCTTCTGCACTGCCGGGCTTTGGGTGCCAAGACGCACGGTACCAACCCTGAGACCCACAGCCCAGCTGTACTCACAGGGGGTGGTGGGGCAGCGTCCAAACGGCACGTGGTGGCACGGCATCTTTCACAAAAGCACTTCACTGCTATAGAGTCCAAGTCAAACATTTCATTTTAAATTGTCGATTTAGAAGACCCAAACAAACCTTTCCTGATTTTTTTTTTCCATGAAAAATGTCAACGCCACTTGCTTAGTAGCGCTTTGCGAGCAGCAGTCTCCAAGTGT